TACACTAAGCACCTGCGGCAGTCGGACCTCCGAAGCCAGACGAACCCCCGGGATAGTAGGGGGTTTTTTTGCCTAACCTGCCTGGTATAAGTATATCTTACTGGGCAGGGCTTCACGAGGTCCATTTTGCTGTAAATATTTTTATTTTATTCTAAAACCCCTCGTGATCCTCTTCTTTTTTTTTTTTCGTGGTTGAGCGGTCATTTTCTTTCAACGTCTCAAATGCGGTCCGTGACCTCCATCCCGAAATGACGGCAGAAAATGAGGCCCGTGTTGGCGCCGACGTTGCCGAACCGTATAGTATTTTCGATAAGCGTCAGAAGGCACTGATCATCCTTCTTGTCTCGGTCGCGGCAACGTGTAAGTGCCGGTACTAAAACCGAGTCTGTTTTTATCCCCAAAAAATGCAAGCCCACTTCTTGGCGGCCACGACAACAACGACAATGCTGATTTGATTCATGGATGGTGCCCCAGTCTCTGGCTTCGCTTCCAACATATACTTCCCTGCACTCCCAACCATCGCCCGTGACCTAGATGTCACGGTCGAGCTCATCAGTCTCACCGTAACCTCTTACCTGATTTTCCAGGGCATCGCCCCGAGCTTCTGGGGTCCGCTGTCGGATGCCAGGGGCCGTAGGGTGACGTACTGCGGTACCTTCTTGGTCTTCCTGGGGGCTTGCATAGGGCTCGCCGAGACGAGAAACTATGCCACGCTTATCGTTCTGCGGAGCCTTCAGAGCTCCGGAAGCGCTAGCACCATTGCCGTCGGCTCGGCGGTCATCGGAGACATAACCACCCGCGAGGAGCGCGGAGGGTTCATGGGCATCTTTCAGGCTGGTCTCCTCGCGCCGGTGGCGGTGGGACCAGTTATCGGCGGAGCCCTGGCCGCTTCTCTGGGGTGGAGAGCCATCTTCTTTTTCTTGGCGATATACTGCGGTGCTTTCCTCGTCGTGCTGATCCTCTCATTGCCGGAAACCCTCCCGTCAATCGTGGGGAATGGGAGTGCAGCTCCATCGAGTCCGATTGCGAAATACCCCTTACACTTCTACCAGAAACACACTACGGTAAAGTTCACTCCGCAAGCACAGCCCGTCCAGTCGGCCAAAAAGGCCAGGATCGACATCATGGGGCCAATGCGCATACTTTTCAGCAAGCAGGCCGCACCCGTCATATTTTTTCTGGCCGTATACTATGCTGTTTGGCAAATGAGCATCACAGCCATGTCTGTTCTCTTTGAGAGCCGTTACAGCCTAAGCGAGACACAGATCGGGCTGACCTTTATCGCAAACGGTGCAGGGTCAATCATCGGCACTCTGGTCACCGGTAAAATACTGGACATTGACTACGTACGCGTCAAGATTGCTTACGAATCCGCGCTCTCTCAACGTGTGCCGGAATCAGGTAACGGTGATTCAGATCCATCCCAAATAGAAGACGACCGTATCGGCTTCCCACTCGAGAAAGCACGCCTTCGCCTCCTCCCCGTCTATGCGTTCCTCCAGTGCGCCTCTATTATTATCTTTGGTTGGACGATCCAGTTTCGTGTCCACATCGCCGTGCCGATTGTGGTCACCTTCATTACAGGTTGGACGGCAATCTCGATAGTCTCGACAGTAACGACGTATCTGATAGACATATTCCCGGAGCATAAGGCCGCGTCGAGCGCGAGCCTGAATTTAGCGAGATGCCTGCTCGCGGCTGCGAGTACTAGCATCGTCACTCCCATCATCGGAGCCGTGGGTGTAGGCTGGACGTGCACGATCGCCGTCGCGGTACAAATTGTCGCCCTGATAGGTGTTGGGATACAATGGCGATATGGCAGCAAGTGGCGGATGGCCGCCGAGCGGGCCAAAAAGCAAACGCAATAACTAATGAGATTGAAAAGATAATGAGCGGTTGATAGACAGAAGCAAGAGATTACATTTGTAGTTACGCTATGTACTTCGACGAAATGATACCAAAGATGGGGAGTATCTTTCGGTTACGTTGACGTTTACCCCTGATAGAGGCACTGTTGTTGATCCCCAAGCGAGTAGGATAGTTAAGGGGAACCTACAATACAGTTTTTTTTTTTTTTTTTTTTTCATTAGCCCCCTGCCGAGAGAAGCTTTTTAAAGTGTGAAATCCGCAGCCGTAAAGCTTTGGTAGGTAATGTCTAACCTAGGTAGGTATCTCTGTAATGACCGGGGCGAGCGATTTAGAGCGAAGGAAACTCAACATAGATGAGACACGTGAAGCTTCTAGTCATTTACCAAAGAAAACGAGCTCAGTATATTGACTTTTTGGTCTGGATTACATTGGACAGGCATTCTTAGCAAGTGACATGCAACAATGGCGCAACACGACAATCGAATAAGTTGGTTCATCACACAAGTACTTTCAGCGAATTTTCACGGCTCCTGCCGCACATTTTTGTAGTTTTGAAGCCCAGACAACTCCAGCAAATAATGCACTTATGGCAATGCTATTCTTGAGTAGGTGTTCCATTAGCGGATGATATCCGCCCAGGCAGCTTTGAGCTCATCCTCGGCGGTTTGAGGGTCCGCGGCAAACCGCTGCCAGGCCACCGCTGCAAGACGGTTGCCATCCTCTTCTTGCACGACGTGTTCACTTGAAGCTTCCGGTTGGGAAATTCCGGGCGCGTTGACCCAGCCGCTGCTGCTGACGTTTGCAGCGTCCTCCTCGGCGGAGGCCGCCTTGTGCTGGTTGTCCAAATCGTTTCCGCCATCTTCCTGCTTAGCAGACGTCGTCTTCTTCTGGCTGTTGGTACCCTCTCCTTTAGCTTCAAGACCAGCAGGGGCCGCCTTGTCCTGTTTGCCGTTGCTGTCTCCCGATTCCTCCATCCCGGCGGAGACGGTCACGTCCTCGGACTTGACAGGCCATGGAGTAGTGACGTTGCGTGAGTCGTCCTGAGTAGGGCCCACGACATGGCCATTGTCATCTGGAGCCTTAGCCTGGCCCGACGTAACATTGCTCGGGTGACCCCACTCGTCCTTCAACAACTTGACAGCTGCGAGAAAAATGAATTTAGTGATTACCCAAGGCAAGAAAGCTTCCACGGACTCGCCGGGTGTACAAAGGAAAGTGAACGACTCCAGGGCACGTACTGCGGCACAAGACCGACAACTGCTCCTCATCCAGGAACAGGTTCTTGGCAATGTAAACAGTCACCTGCGTCTGTAGCTTAGCGTTGCCCTCGGGCACATACGACAAGAAGCTTATGGGGATAGCGCGTACCGTAGTGAAGAGGTCGCGGGCCATATTTTTATGGTTGGCCTTGTCGGTCATAACCTGGAGACATTCTGCCAAGGGTGCCTTCAGGGCTTGATTGTCCACCGATTCCAGGAGCTTGTTGATAACCTCACTTCGAAAGGCATCGTCAGTGGCCTCGATGTCCGCTTTTGCAACGCTGGGCATTGCTGCAGTAGGCAGTCATCGGACTGCGAGGAAAATGAGGAGGAAAGAAGATGTTGTGCGCGCGGTTTCTGGCAAGAGCCAGCTCGTAAATTGACGATATAGATAGGTGAAGGTGCTAAGTTGTTGACGTGCAGGGTAGGAGTTGTAAAAGGAATAGCTGAATATATTGGAGAGGTTCTGAACAGAAACAAGACGTAGAGGGAAGGGATGGAGGGTAGAGGGAAGAAGAGAGGGAAAACGAATCTGGTAGGATGGAAGGAGGTAGGCATGAGTCTGCGACGAGTTGTCGGCAACAACACTGGCGAGCTTGGGACATCACACCTGGTGACTGATCAGGTGTCCAAAGTACGCATCAGGTACTAATACTCATAATACATGTGTGCCTAGAAGATCGACTATAAAAAGCTAGCTATTTTGATTGATGTAATCTGCGGTTGAGTACCAGGGTTGTACGTTTACATGTCAGCGACAACTTCAAGTACCAAGCGAGGAAGGACCACGCGAGAAGTTCTTCGAAAGCGGAGACCAAGTGTTGATGAACAGGTGATGGGGCACCTTCCCTACCGAAAGAACAAGTTGAATTACCCTGGGTGGCCCCTTGGCATGTGGAAAGACATGTCGTAGAGTGGTGCCCGTAAAGGTCTGGGCTGGCAATGTTAACGTCCGCGCCAAACCTGGGTAGCTCTCTGTTACTCCGTAGGAACTATCGCGACAAATCTAATCAAAGCAGCATGAATTGGAATTTCACAACCTCTTTTGTTTCCTCAGAAACACAATGGTAACAGGTATCTCTCTTGGCCTCTATCTAGATTAGTCTGCTAGATAAGTATCATTATTCTTTTCCCTTGCCGGACGGGTCTGTTGAATTATGTCAAGGAGCATAACCTAATGCCTCATCGGTTGACTTATTGAGTTGCCCGGTAATAATAGTAAATTTGCTGGAGGTGACTTGACTTTTGATTGAACGACCCTCCTATTCACTGAATTATTCCGTCACTGGGTGATACTGAATATATGCCACATTAGATTTATCCGTCGCTCTGCGATGTATGGCGCTGGGAGGCATGGTTTGACACGGAGCTTTTCAACGCATAGGACGTGTGCCGTCTATTCTCCCAAGCCTATCACCAGGGGTAGCAAAAAGCTGTTGATCTTATAATCGGCTATATATAGGAGTCTTTACGCAAACTACATTTCGGCGGCAACTCAGGACAAAGCGCGTCGTGACTATCATTGACCGGCGCCATTTGTTCGCCCGTCGGGACATGTTATCTACGGTAAAATCAATCGATCACTTGTTTACCCCTATTCTACCTGACAGCTGGCCGTCCCATAACTTTCCTCGCCAGGCCACACGCAAAGGAAAACATGGCAACCCCTTAGTTATATTGTACAAAGGATGGAATGATCGATAATACGCTCTCCGGGATAAATAGTTGTTCTCGTAGGCACATCTTGTAAATACATCTATGACCGTTTTCTATCTAGTAATCAGGTTTACAAGTCAACTTGCGGAATATGCTCATAATAACCTGTCGCAGCAGTGTGTTGATGTATCAATTAGTAAACGGCCTGATTGACAAGTTTTCGTGGCCTAGTGGTTAGGGCGTCTGTCTTACAGCCTGGATCGGGACACATCCGAATCAGCGCAGATCACAGAAGATCCCCGGTTCAATCCCGGGCGGAAACATTTTTTGGGAAGTTAGACAATGTAGCGTTGGAGAGGTGTTGGTTGTTAAATTGGCGGCGCAGTAACTTATAGCTGTGATGTATCTGTCCCGTTAAATTATTAAGGCCTCGATCAAACATTCTTCGTAGATTGGCGACTGATTTGTCTTTTGCAGGGCTCCTTCTCCCCTAAAGACACAATACATGCCGGCAGATCTTGGAACAGGAGGCAGGCCACCAGCCCTACTCGGCCAATAGTGGAGTTTAGCGGCCCGTTACGCACGTAACAGATACTGCCCAGGTGGGCTGGCCAACCGGAGTTTGCGGCCCAGCGGTGGTCGGTAACGCGTTTAACGCCTACCAAATGAGTGGCCGCCGTGGTTAAGGGTAGAGGTACGTATATGATCGCCGGTGTACCGGTAGTCTGTAAATCCCGCTTGACTCACACGCCGGGACCCGCAGTTTCCCGCGGCCAGGCGTATAAGCCAATGTCGCCGTGACTGATGGGGTTTAACGTGATCTACCTATACTAATCCCGGTCACTCGCCGATTCCGTCCACCCAACCTATAGAGCCGCCATAATAAGGGGCGGTACGAAGATCAAGCCTGTTTTACAGTTCGGGTGGGCGGAATCAGTAGGTGACCGGGATTGGTATAGCAACTTGGAGTAGGTACTGTATACGCCGTATGTGTCATGAGCTATCAAACCTCAAAGTACCTACGATATGAGGTAGGTGGTATTATATTATATATAGGTAGCCTGCTGCTGTGAAATACAGAAAATTGCAAACAAATTCCCAGACTCAGACCTTTCTCCGCCCGCCGTCTCGAGATCCAATCTCTCAGAGTCACCGCAAGGCCTCCAAGTTTTACCATCACGCTTACAGGCTTTACTGTAAACATGGCCAAAGTACATGGGAAGTGCACGCAGCAGTTCGAGAAAGTCCGCACCCTTTTCGCCGAGCTCATTGATTCGGAAGATGAGCTCGGTGCTTCAATAGCCGTTAACATCGACGGCGAGGATGTCGTCGATCTGTGGGGCGGCTATGTAGATCAAAACACCAAACAACCTTGGACCGAGGATACCATCACGGGCGTCGCCTCCTCTTCCAAGATGGTCTGCAGTCTGGCTGTTCTTATGCTTATCGACAGTGGCGCCGTCTCGGCCTACGACAAAGTCTCCAAGTACTGGCCCGAGTTCGCCGCCAACGGGAAAGAAAATGTCGAAATCCGCCATCTACTGTCGCATACTTCCGGCGTCGCCGGGTGGGATGAGAAGGTCACCATGGACGAGATCTGCGACCCTGTCACGTCCGCGGCAAAGCTAGCGCCTCAAGCGCCGTGGTGGGAGCCGGGCACAGCGTCGGCGTATCATGCCTGGAACTTCGGCCATCTGCTGGGCGAAATCGTGCGGCGCGTCACGGGAATGGGCCTAAAGCAATTTATTGCCGAGAAGATCGCCGCACCCTTGAGTGCCGATTTCCAACTCGGCATCTTGGAGAAAGACTGGCCTCGCGTTACTCATCTCACGTTACTCAATTTGACAGGACCCAGCTCGAACTTTAAGCCCCCTCCCCTCTTCCTGAAGGCGATAGGAAACCCGGCGGTACCTCCCGAGATGGGGAAACGGCCTGCGTGGCGGCAAGGAGAGGTTGGTGGCTCCAACGGGTATACTAACGCCCGGGCATTGAACAAGATTCTTTCCACCATCACTCTTGCGGGCTCCGATGGCATCGATGGACGCAAGCAATTGCTGTCGAAACGAACTGTCGACCTGATTTTTGAAGAACAATCCTGGGGCATGGATCTCGCTATTGGCAAGCCCATACGCTTCGGTATCGGGTATGCTCTGAAAGGCGATGGGGACTGGGTTAGCGACTGGATACCCGCCGGTGATATCGCCTATTGGGGCGGATCGGGCGGATCGCTGGGATTGATGGATGTCGGTCGCAAAGTTACCATCACTTATGCTATGAACAAGTGGGACCCCGCCGCGTTGATTGGAAACAAAGCCGCTAAGGCCTACGTTGGTGCTGTATACGAGGCACTAGGAGTCAAGATTCCATGATCGTAGTCCGAGGAGACAACCACGAGGAGATGAGTTAGTTGGTTGGGGGGAGGGGAGGGGAAACCCTATAAATTCACAATCTCGTGTCTCATGGGAGGTAGGTATTTGTTCTGTAAGGGAGTGATACGTGCGTATAAGAACACATCGGAACGAGCTTCGAATCCGTGAAACCAACCCACAAGGACTGCGCCAGGCAGTACCAAGAACGTTAGATTGCGCTGTGTGTGATAATACCAAACACCGTAAAGCCAAATCTGAATCATCGCTATAATCCTTCAAATAACAAAGTCATGTCGTGTATTGCCCGTGATCTGTTAGGATACTGGGACTTTGTCGGAATCGGCCTTTCTCTCGTTAACACGATCACCGGATCGGATGTAGAGTAGGCACTGACTGATAGTTATCTCAAGGTGTCAGCATGATAGCAGCACTCCAACATGCGGCTTGGCAAGCGCCAAATGCTGAATTGCAAGAAAGTATGGTAGCTGGTACCGTGGCACCGATAGTTGCGCCCCAGGTGAGCCCACCTGCTCCATAGCAGGCCGTGGCACCGATAGTCGCGCCCCAGGTGAACCCAGCTGCTCCATAGCAGGCCGTGGCAATGGTCGCGCATCCCGCCTGGCATATGCCATAAGCCACAGGACCGGCACTTGTAATGGGTGCGAGGGCGAGCATCGCGGTCGTAAGGGAGGTGGTCAATTTCATATTGGCCGTGTTTGGTTAGGATATTGTATAATCGTCTTTGTCCGGGAGAGGCGACTTCAGAGAGCTGGTGTTGATTACGAGGCCAGTGTAGTAGTTGTAGTTCGCTTTGGTGATCATGAGACGGGGCGCAAAGGTTGCATTTATATGTCTAGCTGTCAGGCACCCTTAATTTCCCAGTAAACGGTCAGTCAATCACGACAACTCCATTTCCACGGGCGGGCGGGTATCCGTTTGTCAAATCCCCGGTCCGTCGGTTCGGAAGGCTGGCCGACCGTTTGACCCGACGGTCATGATGCGTTTGAATTTATTCCTAGAACAGTGCCGAATACTAACAAGTCGTGACCTCGCTCCTTGTTTATACACGGCCAAACCATACCGTGTGTCAGCTTCAGTAGCTCGTCATGGCAGCCGAACGTCCGAAAATGCGTGTGTTTAGTCAAGAATTCTCGTATTTATTGCACCATAAAACGTACTGATAAAAATGCCCTTATTTTGTCTAACCGGCGGCTGGCCTACGGGCTCGCGACCTTACCTTCGCTATGTCCTCGGTCTGTCGAGCAATCCCTTTCGGCCGCTCAGCAACGGCCGACCGGATGGCCAGATATTAGCGGCCGGGTGACCTGGGAACACCGTCCGACCGAACCGACCGATGTGCAACTCTAGACACAAGAGGGATAGGTAGTACTATAGGCAGGTTCAATGTGTCCAGATAGAATAGGACGTAGTTCCAATCCTACAATTGGTCTTGGTGCCCACTTCTGTAGCCTTGGAATATCGTGTGGTGCTGTCAGTAATCTAGGTAGCCGGTGGTTGTCCCTCACATTTCTAAACAATCATTTTTATTCCCGAATGTGCCGGCGACGTCACAGTTCGACGCTGTGCCATGGCCTCGGTTGGAGCCCAAACATGATCACCACCGGTTTGGCGAGTAAGTTTTAATTCTTCACTCAATCGGCAGCTGTGGCAAGTTGACCGACGACTGATTTCTGATTTGAGTTGTTCTATGTCGACATTGAGACTGAGGTGCACATCCAGGAGGCTCCGAGGCCGCGAGACTTCAGACAAGCCGGGTTGTAAGCAGATTCGGCACTCAGCCGCGCCTCTCGAAGTGTATCCTGAATCAGTCCAGGGCATATCATTTTGCTGAGGTGTCCCGGACAGGACTCGTTACTTGGTCTTAAAATACCGGGGCGCAGTAACACTGGTATATCTGCGCAATATCAGACACGCTATCTAAGGGCTCAAGGCGATGGAAGCCCACAGCCCACCAGATGTTGCCGCGATGGGAGTTAATACACTTTCTGCTCGACTTCAGGTAGAAGAGGATGGCGTTGAATGGGCTCTGTACGATCGTACGTAGAATAAACAAATAACGATTGATTCCTGTCTGTCTATGTAGGTACCTAGGTAAGAGGTAAGTAGGTCTACGTACGGGACCTCCCTGTTATATCCGAATATCGTGCGTGGCCTCTTAGTCATGTACTCATGACTAAGTCGTACGGTTACTATATACCAACAACGCATGTGTAAATCTCGACAATAGCCATCTAACCGTATAACTGACTAGAATCGAGGATTATACAGACTGTACGCCACATTGTGTCCGTACCTTAATCACGTACGGATGCCCGTCGCACGAAAGCCTCATCGGCTTGCGGCACGGTCATGTGGCCGGGGATAAATGGGCCTCTCTGCGCCCGTCCTGTCCAAAGCTGTCCTCACTTCTTATTAGCCACCACTTTGCTACCAAAAGGCTCCCCTCGGAGTTCTCGTAATAACATAACTTGTTTTCTGACTGCCACGTCGCGTTAGAGCTCAATACTCCAAAGCAGAACTGTGAGATATCCACGGGGACAGAAGCTTGCGTTGGCTCGCGTTCTAGAGATCCATCCAACAGGCGAGTACCTGGTATGTACGGGAAAGTCGATGGATGTTAATCACGGTGAGATGAGCTTTCATGGAGTACCGTTCCGGTATCCGAGATGGTGGGAAACACGAACTCTCGCCAGAACAAACAAGCAATAACAATACATGCACGGCCGATCAGTCAGTCAACCAACCAACCAGTCAATCACGCCAATTGTGAAGTCTACAGGGCGTCTGCAGGGCGTCTCGCCTCGCGCATCGACCTGGTTTCGACGTGGCCCTCAGAGACGGGAGCCGGGCTTAGGCCCTCGCATGATAAGGAACAGATGCCGCTGTGCCGAGCGATATGCGTGTATCGGGGTGTGCCTAATATAACACGTCAT